GCCCCGCCCCGCCCCGCCCCCTCTGAGCCGCTCCTGCTCCGGCCCAGCCTCCAGGGGGCGCTGGGAACTCCGCAGCCTGCATTGCGCGGTGCTCACACCCACCGCCTACTTCCAGCTGGGCGGGACGGACCTGGGCCCACCTGATCCTCTAGACCCGCCCTCGTGGCTCTGGAGACAGACATTTGGTGCAGTCCGTTGTTCCCCTTCTCTCCCTCCATCTTTCTAGTCGTTACCTCCCCCCTCCACGCTGAGACAATTAGGTTGTAGCTGAACTAAAGTGATCTACTAGTCCTGCTCTGTTCAATACTGGAATCACTAGCCACCTGTGGCTATTTAAATTTACAGGGCAATTCAATAAAATTTAAAAATCATTTCCTCAGCCACACTAGCCACATTTCAAATGCTTGACAGCCGGACGTGGCTAGTGGCCAGGGTACTGGACAGGGAAACGTTTAGGTAGTGAGTTCATTGGACAGCACGGCCCCAGACATCTGTCTTGCTGTCAAGACTCATGTCTTACTATAAAACCACTTCCTAAGATTGTTCTTTGAACCAAAGCTCTTTCTTTCTGATTTCCTTCCTGTACTTTTAAAATAAAACTCTGATCCATGCTCATAATTTGAGAAATGTATTTTTGGTTTAACAGTTGCCTCTCAGGGAATAATATTTGAATGAAGGAGTGAATCGCCAAGCCTAGTGTGGGGAAGTCCTGACCCAGGAAGGTGCAGGCATAAGCCAGAGAGCACGGGGGACCCAGGGAGGGCAGCTGGGGGCTCCCGTGCCAGGTTTAACCAACGGCAACTGGGACCCGCAGAGACTTACAGGGAAGTTCGGGGAGGGGGGGGGAGCCTGGAGCAGTGGCGGGGCCTGAGAATTCTGGATTTCTAAGCTGTTTGTATCTTCTGATTCTTGTCACCCGTGCTCTAGCCAGGTTGGGGTAAACCCAAGAGATGGTGAAGGCGATGATATGGAGACTATCTTCAGGAAAACTCCACGACACAGATTTTATTATTCTTCCTTTTTTATGCATGAGAAAACGAAGGCACAGGCAGGATAAAGGGGACAGAGAAAGCAGAGAAGGGGTCTAGCCTACAGCTTCATGCCCCAAAGACCCTTGGGGTTTTGTGCCTAATTTGGAGACCAGGGCTTGGGAGGCCAAGGACCAGGTTTTAAGGAGATTTTTAAAAATCTTTTGTTGCCCTGGCCGGTTGGTTTGGCTCAGCAGTTAGGTGTCAGCCCAACAACCAAAGAGTATTGGGTTCAATTCCCAGTCAAAGGCGCAGACCTCGATTTCAGGTTCAATACCCAGCCCCAGTAGGGGGTTGTACAGGAGGCAACCAATCGTTGTGTCAGTCTCACATCAATGTTTTTTTCTCTTTCCCTCCCTTCCGTTCTATCTAAAAAAAATCAATGGAAAAATATCTCCGGCTGAGCATTAAAAAATAAAATAAAAAGTCTTTTGTCAAAGAAGTTCAAGAAAGGCCCTGGCAGCCAGCCACTCCTCTGTGTAAATCAACTCTTTTTTTTTTTTTTTTTTATCCTCATCGGAGGACATTTTTCCATTTTTTGTTCAGATAGAGTGGGAGGGAGAGAGAGGAACAGAGAGAGAGAGAGAAACATCAATGTGAAAGGAACACATCGAGTGGCTGCCACCCGCACGACCGACCAGGGCCGGGGAAAAACTGCAACCGAGGTACATGCCCCTAGCGGGAACCGAACCCAGGTCTCTCAGGACCGCAGGCCGACGCTCTAACCGCTGAGCCAAACCGGCCAGGGCAAATCAACTCATTTTTGGTGGGAGTCACTTTACTCCGGAGTGAGAGTATCAGCAATGAGGATTTTAACCAGGCGCTGGTGTCGGGGGGGAAGGTGGGAGGGAGTCCTATTGGAGGAACACTTTCAGGGGCTTCTCTCTTTGGCTCCTGCTTATGGGCAGGTTACATTTTGGGATCGGGGAGATTGAAGAGAGACTGGTGTCTATTGGACCATGTTTCTCAGTAGATGGGGCTAATGTGCATTTAAGCCAAAATATAAATTCTTCACTCCAGCCCCCATTATACCTGACCTTATCCCCACCACTGTCCCTGGTTCACTGTGCTGTAGCTGGTCTTTCTGTGCTGTGAACACGCCCAACTCTATGTGCCTCAGGGCCTTTGTACTAGCTCTACCCTCTGCTCAGAATGCTCTTCCCCTAGTCCATCCTGGCTGCTTCTAGTCACCAAGGGCTCAACTCAGGTCACCTCCTTAAAGACCTCCCTTTAGCTCCCCAAGTCTCAGACCCTATTTTCTTCATAGTACTGTCAACTGATGGTTGTTGGCACCAATTCAACAGCAACAGGAATCCCTAAATTGGGGTCTGGTGAAGAAGGACTTTATTCAGTGTAAAACAGCTCAATTATGATACAGCATGACTGGGAAAACAGCACAATCACAAGGCAGCCCTGGAGCCAGGCCCCTCTCTGGCTGGACAGCTCTGCTCCGCCCCTCCAGGCTCTGCTCCATGCTGGTCTGAAGGGCTATGCTGGTCTGCTCCGCTTTGTTGCAGTCTGCACTGGTCTAGCGAGACATCTTTGTCTCAGCTCAGCCAGGGAGACTCAGTCTTCAGTTGAAAGGGAAAGTGCATTCTCAGAGCTAGAGAAGAACTGGCTTATATGGACAGAAGTCCCTGTTCCTGACCCCTGATTGTTCTGTCCTCATGCAAATGAGGACTCCAAATCCTCACAGTTTGATTGGCCCAAAAGGCACCATCCTGATTGGTCAGGGTAGAGCCATTCTAGTTGGTTGGAGCTGTGCAGCTCCAACTGAATGGGGAAAGCCTCAGTCCTATTTGTTGAAATAGAATTCCAGGAATCCTTTATAAGGGCCGCTCAGCTGGCAGAAACACAGTGCAGGCAGGCCGTTCAGTGCAGGCTTCTACCTGAAGTACAGCTTGCATGAGAGATCCCTGCATAGAAATTGCTGCTAGGTTCTTCTTCTTCTTCTTTTTTTTTGAGCCCAGTTAGCCACCAGGAACCCTTCATAGTAGGTGTCTTCTTTCTCAGGGTTCACAGCACCTATCAGTGTTTGCAATTTTTCCTTTTGTCTGTGTCTGTCTCCCACTGAACTGAAAGATACAGAAGGGTAGCAACCTCATCTACTCAGTTTCCTCAGCACCCAGCACAATACCTGGCATAGCAGGTGCTCAGTAAACATGGGTGGGGCATGAGGCTGTCCTGCTACCTGCCTCTCTGCGTCCTCCTTCCCTGTGTTAAGCTGGAGAAGCGGGTTGGGGAAGCAAGAGCAGTGGCCTTTCTCCAGCTTCCCTGAGCCCGGGAGGGTGGGTTTAAATCCAGGTAAGAGATGGGAGGTATCTCTGCATAATTCTCCATTCCAGCTTCCCCAAGCCCGGCCAATTCTGTCATATCAGCCTCAGCTGACAACTCGGGTCTTATAAGATCCCAAGGAGAGAACGATGACTCCGGCCTCCATTCTGTTGGACTTCCAACCCGACTCCTCTCTACCATTCACGTGTATTTTGTTTGCTGCTTAATTTTTAAATTGGATTTTCTGAGATGATGCTCAAAGTGGATTAGAGCTGACACTTGAATTGGTGCCATGCTGTACATGAGGTGGCATTCTGTGGGCACTGGGAGCTGTGCAGTCGGGCCTGGCTTCAAAGCCTGACTCCAGGACTTCCTAGCTGTGTGGCCCTAAGCTAAACCTCAACCTCTCTGGACCTGCTTCCTCATCTGTAAAATGTGGGTAACTGGACTGCCTACTAGAGCTGACATAGTGGATATACAGCACCTAGCATATTGCTTGGCACCAAATAGTTATCTTTATTTTAAATTATTGCATTTTATTACAAAAGCTCTTGACGGCAAAAGTCCAGAGGGCTGGTTCAGGCTCTGCCATTCAGTCACCCTAGCGAGTTCCTTTTCCTCCCTAGAACTAAATTTCCCTAATGTAAATTGTGTGTGTCTTGGGGGTAGGGGGTGACTCCAGCAGCTAAAGAGATAGTTTTGGGCTCAGCACAAAGGAAATACTTTAAAAAAAAAAAAAAAAATACAAGCCCAGCTGGTGTGGTTCAGTGGATTGAGCATCGTCCCATGGACTGAGAGGTCCTGGTTCAATTCCTGGTCAGGGCATATGCCTGAGTTTCGGGCTTGATCCCCAGTAGGGGGCGTGCAGCCAATTGATGTTTCTCTCTTACATTGATGTCTCTCTCTCTCCCTTCCTTTCTCTCTAAAAAAAATCAATAAAACCCTATTTTTAAAAACACCAACACAAAAGAAACACTTTTAATAAACATCATGCTGCATGTGTGGCAGTGAGCTCCCCATCACCTCTAGTGCATTGTGTAGAATGCCAAAGCAGGAAGAAATCTCAACCAGCCAAGCCTCTCAGTTTGAAAGTGTGACAGAGACAGAGAGCAATCAGAGACAGAGGAGCTTATGATCCCCGGCCTGCCCGAATGAGGCCCACTCCATCATGCCACCTACCCGGATGTCCAGAACGAACCACCTACAGAGAGCCTGGGTGAGAGACGCTGCCTGGGTTCAGCTATGAGCCTGCTACTAACTAGCTGTGTGACCTTGGCAAAGTATAGCAGCTGCTGACGGTGCCCCTGAAAGTGTCCCTCCACCCATGACACGTGGAAGTTGGTGGATGAACTCCCCAGGTCCCCCTCTTTGCAGGAACACCTCTAGGCATGCGCTGTGCATGGCTTTCCAAAGCTCCCGGCAGGACTGAGCAGCAGTTGCCCACACTGGCTCTGACAGGACATCCTTTACTGCCCTGCCCTTCTCTGCCCACCGCCCCACTCCCCGGAGTTTTCCTGGGATCACCTCTGAAATCAACTAATTTCACTTGAATCCCTGTCTGGATTCAATGAGTTAACAAGATTAAGTGCTCACAAAGGCAGTATGTTTGTTTCATAAGTAAAAAAAAAAAAAAAGAGAGAGAAACAAAGAGCTTTTATTTACATAAAATTCCACCCCCTCCCATCCCACCCTCCTCAGCAAATATAAATAGCAGGTTTAGAACAATCTTTGAGATGCATACAAACATTGCTGAACATGAGGTCAGGGCCAGTGTGCAAAAGCTTCCTGTGCTTGGTGTTGGCATCTGGAGTGTCCAGCTCAGCCGGATCACAGGTCTCTGGCTGCCAGCAATGGTGACCACGGCGCAGACTGGCCCCACGGCAGCTGGAGGTGTCTATTCTGGGGACCGGGCTTCACAGGGGCCCCCAGCCTTACAGCCCTGTAGGAATCTGCCAGCACAGTGTCACTGCTTGGTAGTCCCCATTTCGTGTGCTTCTGTGACCCCACTGACTAAGCCCCTCCACAGCCCAGATCCCGCCTCCAGTGTCGACCTCCTGAAGCCCTGTTGAGTGAACGGCACCTCTGGGCAAATAACTACCCTTCCAGGACCTCCATTTCCCACCAGTTTCCCAAGGCCCCCCAATGTGTCCCCTGTTGGCTTGGTTAGTTTCTAGGCTCAGCGTCCAAGCCAGCAACATGGCAACAGCGAGTCCCGGGGCTGGGCAAGACACGGGCAACCGAGTGACAAGGTGGACAAAGGTGCCTTGGGCGGGCATGACAGGGACAGTACGCTGGAGAAGCTGCGGACCGATCAAGTGGCCAACGGCTCGTTCATCAGCCAAGGTGCCCAGGAGCGTCCAGATCTCTGCAGGTGACTGCTGTGGGCACCCGCCCGGCGCCCGCCCCTCCCACGGCACGTGCTGAGCTCGGGTCCGTGTTGAGAATGCGGAGCCAGTCTCTGCAGCCCCCGTGTCTGACCACCTCCCTCCACACCACGCTCCCCGAGTCTCGGAAATCCGCCGCCTGGCTGCCTTCCGGGCGGCATTTCTCGCGCACGGGTAGGGCACTCGGCAGCGAGCGGGCACACACCTGGGAGGCACTCACGCAGGGGGCCCTGTGGAGAGCACGGCCACCATTGCGGGGGCCTGGCTTGAGCCCTGCGCATTGCTGGGGCCAGGCTGGAAGGACAGGGAGGACTTGCCCCCGTCTGAGCCACCCAGGGAGGCCGGGAGGCTGGCCTCCAGTGGAACCGCCCCTGGGAGGGGGCTCACGGGGGACTCACACCTGTCTCCACAACAGCAGCCACAGCAGCGCGTGGCCTCAGCGTGGGCCTCGCCACGCTCCTCCTGGCCGTGACACTGCTTCAGGTGGCCGCACAGGTGGCAGGTGAGGGCTGAGTAGACAATGCCGCTGCCCAGGTCGTCCCTGAGGGGGCCCGAGGCCTGCTCCCGGGAGAGCGGGGGCTTCTGGCTGTCCTCTCCCTTTACCCCTGGCTCCAGAGCAGGGCACCCCGGGGAGCTGCCTGGGGGCAGTGCGCGCTTAGGGCCGTGCGGCTCCAGGTCCAGCCCAAAGGTGAACAGGGGCACAGGGGCAGGGACCCCAGGGCAGCCAGAAGGGAGGCTCCGGAAGGGCTTGTAGCAGCCCTCGCCGCTGCTGGCCTCAGCCCCTGATGTCCCTGGGCGGAGGGCACCGCTGGGCAGCAGGCTGGAGAAGGCCTTGTACCCGGCCTCCCCGCCGCCCTGGGCGCCCTGCCTCACCGCCTGCGCGAACTGCCGGTAGCCGCTGCTGGGGGCCGCGGCGGGCCCCCCGGCTGCCCCGTGCTGGTGCTGGAGGACGCTCCGGCGGAGGATCTGCTCCCAGCTTTCTGGCTCAGGCGCGAGCGCAGCGGGTGGCTCAGAGGGCTGGGGGGCAGAGAGCATGTCGGGGTCCCCGTCTCCCAGGCCTTCGGCCAGCTGTGGGTCTGAGTCGAGCTCCCCAGGACCTGAGCACTGGCTTAGCACGTTGCTGAAGCTGCGGTAGAAGGGGTTGTCTGTGACGATGACCGCAGGCGGCTGTGTGGGAGCCAGGCAGGCTGGGCTCCCCGTCAGCGTGGCTGCAGGGGTGCACTCGGGGCTCAGCGGCTGCTCTGTGCCCTGAAGGGCTGCCTCCTGGGGCTCCGCGCTTGGTAGCTCAGCCCAAGGCATCTGAGCGCTCACACTTTCTGAAGGTGGAAGAAGGCAGGACTCCCCCAAGCCTGGCGGGCAAAAGCCCCCATTCTCACCCCCGAGAAGGTCCAGGAACAGGCTCTCTGTCAGCCGGGCCACGATGCCCTCCCTGCTGTCCTGGAAGCCGCCCCCGCTGCTCTCAGGAGAGGAGCAGAAGCTCCCTTTGTCTTCCTCCACGTCCTCCTCCTCCTCACACTCCACCTCCACCGGGGCCTCTGACAGCTCCACGCACTTCACCACGCTGATGCTCTCGGGCCACAGGATCGTCCTGCTGACCTCCACGGGGCGCCACGCTGACTTTCCAGGAGCCTGGACGGGCCCGCTCCGGGCGTCCTTGAAGGAACTGTCCTCCTTCCCCACGCCATGCTCCAGGAGACAGGGCAGCAGCTTGGTGAGACAGGTCTTCCAGTATCTGCAGAGCAAAGTTTGGTCAGATTCAGCGTCTCCACTTGAAACGCTCCTATTCATCCTTCAAAATCCCGCTTGAAGTCACCCTAGACTGCTGTCTACCTATTGCAGACATGCTTCCTGACTTTATAATCAACAATCGGTCAGCCTATCCCACTGCGACCCTGGAGCTCCCTGAAGGCAGGCCCGTCTGGGATGTCTGCAGCTTAGCACATAACCTGGTACCGACTAGAAACCCAGCCTTTGGATGGATGCGTCTTTGTCAGCGATGACAGGGTTTAAAATACTCGTCAACACTCAGCACAAGGAATGACAGGATGCTGTGGGGTCCTCGGGCTCCCGGGTCCTGAAGTCCCCGCTGGGCCAGGTGTAAACCCCTTAGTCCTGCTCTGGAGGCCCGGGGGCCGGAGGGAGGAGCTTAGGAGGCGGCACACTCAGGGTCAGGGCAGTGCTGTCTGCCAACCAGCGTGCAGCCGCGTCGGCACCGCAGCCCCGGCACAGCGGCCCTGGCAGTGACTCTGCCAGCCCCTCTCAGGCAGGGCCCTCCCAGGGGGTTCAGCATGTGCCCGACCCACCCAGGAAACTCAGGGCCTCAGCCAGCAGCCCGCCTACCCCGACCACTCCTCCTGCGGCCCTCGAAGGAAAAGTGCTGACGCCAAGGAAGCGAAGGCAGACACGGAGGCTGTGGGGCCCCACTCTGCCCTCCACGCCAGTGCCACCCCTCCAAGCCCACAGAGGCTGTGACCGAAGTTCATGTACATACGGGCACTTGGCTGGTTCCTGGCCTCCGGACCTGCTCCCCCACAGGGACACCTGAAACACAGAGCAGCCAGTGAACAGAGCGGAGAGGCCTTCCCGGCCAGCCTGGCCACAGCGGTCGCAGTATTCACTGTGGGAAGACCTAGGCCTGGACATCACACGGGTCTGAGGTCACACGAGGCCACTTCAGCTCCCGGAGCCTCAGTCCTAGGCATGAGTGAGGTCGCTTAATATCAAGTTGCCGTGGCCGATGGCAAAATGGCCTGGCCTTGTGACCTGCTTTGGGCAACAGAATGTGGCATGAGTGACACTGTGCCAACTGGCCCAGCTGCGGGAGGGTGAGACGCATGGCTCAGTCACCTGCATTGCCCAGGTGAGGGTCAGACAGCGGCCGGACCTGAGTGAAGCCATGGGGACGAGCCAGCCCAGCCCCCCACCCAACCCACTGCTGGGCCCACCTGCAGAAGCCAGGGCCACGGAGATGGCTGCAGTTCCAGCCAAGCTTCGGGATCCCTGGCTACACAGCTAAGCTGACTGGTACGTGAACGGCACTTAGGACGTGCAGGGCCCCGCGGTGTACACTCTACATGCAGTGTCTCGGTGAATTCCCCGGCGGCCCTGTTGCATGAACACTACTCCAACCACACGAGAACACCGAGGCTCAGAGCAGTTGAGCCACTTGCTCGAGTCCACTCTGCAGGCAAGTGGCAGAGCCAGGGTTCGAGTCAGCACCGCCGGGCTCCAGAGCCTGCCAGCCTGCCAGAGGGTCCCTGGAGAACTGGGAACGCTCAGACTTCTAGACAGGACCTGCCCCCCACCCCGCCCCCCTGAGCCCTGAGCAGCCCAGGCCCGCCCCGGGTGGCCATCGCACGGGAAACGCTGCCCCCCCCTCGGATGCCACCTGGCTGCACTCAGGGCATCCCCGCCCCTCAGGGTGAGTGGTTTAGGCAACAGCACGTGATGTAACTCGGGCCAGTGAGAAACGAGATTTGCTGGCGCTTTGGTGACAGTTTCCTGCTCGTAGGAGGAAGACACAGGACCTGTGTCCCCCTCTCCCTCGCCTTTTGGCCTCCTGCCCGGGTACAGACATGCAGATGACCTCAGGGGTCGTCTCCTCCAAGGGAGGGAACCCACCAAAGGCTGAAGAAGTGGCTATGAAAGCCGAGGGAGGGGCGGGAAGCCCCTGGGCTCCTGGTGACCACAGCGAGCTGCGGAACAGCCGACCGAGACCTTCCTGATGGCTCGGTGCGGCTCCAGAGGCCAGTGACTGTCTTCAACACCCCAGACGGCTGACTGCCCCGTAGGTGCAGTCCGAAGCGGCCGACCCACCCTCCTACCTGAGACTCCTGGATGACGACAGCCACGAGGGGGCTGTGGGCCGGGTTGGGGATCTGGTCCCACCAGTCTTTCTTAATCCTGGAAAAGAAAGGACAGCGTGCTGGTGTCTCCGCCGTCAGTCCTCACAGCAGGGGCCTGGGGCCAGGGCCGTTCGGGGGTCTCTCCCTCGGCGGGAGCAGGCTCTGCTGCCGACCCGTCACAGCGGGGTGGACGGAGGCTCCGAGGGGAGAAGGGACAGCGGACAGGCAGAGGAGCTGGCTGTGCCCAGCATCGCTGCCCTCGCCGCTCCGTCCTCAGTGGGAACAAGCCCAGGGGGTGGGAGAGACTCACGCTGCAGGGGACTCTGGGTGTCCCCAGCAACAATCCCCTCCATGGAGCACCCGCGAGGAAGGGGCAGGGAGAGGCCTCGTGGCCCGAGAGGCTGAGGGAACCCGGGGGAAACAGCTTCCTTCCCTCTCCCTGGTCGCCCGGAGCCATGTGTCAGCTCTGAGGCCGGGTCCTCAGATTCCCCTGGAGGGGCCTCCGCGGACTCCACTCAGTCAGGCAACGTGTCTGCACTGAGCTCCTGCTACGTACCACTCGCCGTGCCAGGCCTGGGGACACAGCGGTGAGCCAGGCACGAGCCCTGCCCTCACAGAGCTGACCCTCTAGAAGAGGAGACAGACAGCTACGGAAATGGTTATATGACATTAATCACGGCGTTAAGTGCCATGAGTAAAAATACAGAAGACAAGGGAATAGAGAGGAATGGGGGTGTGATCCAGGAGGGCCTCCCCGAGGAGGTGACCTCTGCGTGGCACTGGAGGTGGAAGAGGAGTCGCGGTGACGCTGGGGAAGGGCTTCCAGGGAGGGGCACAGTGAGTGCAGGGCTGAGGGAACCGCTGGGCGCCAGGAGCAGCACGAGGCTGGAGTGCCGGGACACTGAGCGGGCTGGAAGGACAGGCGATGGGAACCTGAGGCTCAGAGAGGGGAAGACCAGCCCGGGTGCCGAGGAGGAGGCGGTGACGAGACATGGAGAGGAAAACTTGCAACCCCTGCACACAATGTGTGCCCAGCAGAGTGCGGGACACTCAGTGGATCCTCAGCCATCACTAATGTCCACATGGCGAGGCGACGCTCGCTGGTCCCATTTCAGAGCTGGGGGACTGAGCTTGGAGACACCGAGTTTCCTAGGGCTCTTTATACCCACTGTGACCCCAGAGTCTTAGGACTCAGGACGGACGACATTGTTCTCACCATATCTCAGCCTGCAAAGGAGGAACCCAAGGCTGCCGGTCACGCAGCTACCAAGTGCCCGAGCGGAATCCGAACCCATGTCTGCTGACTCTGTCAGGTCAATTGTCTAGAATTCCTTGGTCTGGTCTGCTGTCAGGTGCCCCACTGTCTGGACACACCCTGGGCATGATCCCTCTCCCTCTGCCAAGGGAAGGCCCTGCCCCAGCTCTACCCTGGCCAGCTCACTCCCCCAGTCAGGTCTCAGCTCAAATACCACCTCCTCCCCACCTAAAGCAGCACCCTGGAACATCCCTGCCCTGTGCCCGGGCGTAGTTCCCTCAGCGCGTGGATGGCTGTGGGAAACGGCCGTGGCTGTCTGTGGACCTGGCAGCTGTCTCCACGAGGCACGGGGTCCTTGTCTGTTTTGTTGTAGCTGGTGCCTCAGTGTCTCGCACAGAGTAGCTGCTCAATAAACATTTACTGTCGAACGAGGGACTGCAAGCTGACAGATGAGAGGAGGGACTCCTGCCCACTCTGCACCCCAAAGGGGCTGACCCAGGACTCACTTGATGATGCTCCAATAGCAGGACAGGCAGATGACCACGATGATGATGCAGGAGATGGCGACGGCAAGCGGGAGGTGCCGCTCCCAGGGCCACTCATAGTCTGCAAGTGGGAGGGAAGCCATGAGCTGGCACGGTGCTAGGAACAGCCTGGTCTCCCCTTCCCAGAGCTGAGACCGATGCCTCAGGAAAGGGTCCTCCCAGACCCTACGCGATCTGCAAACACAAGCCCCCCCCCGCCTCTCCCCCTCCTGCCCTCCCCCTTGCACACTGAGCCCTGGCCACACTGGCCCGCTCGCTGTCCCCTGCTCCTCCAAAGCTAGTGCCACCTCAGGATCTTGAACCTGCTGCTCTTTCCTGAAGAGAGACTGAGACTCTACCTGAGCGCAAAGCCATATCCTCACTGTGACCCAGGACACGCCCCTTGCTCTGAGCCTCGGTTTCCGCATCGGTACAGCCGGGCTAACAACAGCACTGTCTCCTAGGGCTGTTGTGAGGACGACACGGTTCACCACCCACGGCACTCAGAACAGCCGGCACGTCCACAAGCACGTGCTGTTACCACCTTCGCCAGCTGCCTCTCCGCGTCCACTTCACTCTCGCCAGCTCCAGAAATGCCCCGCACCCTGTCCCCTGCTGCCCGTCTCCTCGCGCGTCCCCTTGCCCTGCGTACTCTCTCCCAGGCTGACCGCCTGCGGGCCTGGAGCTCCGACTCCCTTCTCCGTGCTCTGTTTATACCCCCGGTGGGTTCCACAGCAGCAGGGACTCCCGTCCCCCGTTCACTGCTGATTCCCCGGGTCCACATGGGGCCGGGCACAGAGCAGGAGCTCAATGAATATTTGCAGAAATAACGAGTGGGTGTTCAGCACAGAGTATACGTTCCCTGCAAGCTGTTTCTCTCTCTTGCCCTTCCCTTCCCCAGGTCAATGATAGAATCAAATCAACTCAAAACTCTCCCGGGGACTTACTGTGTGCCTGGCCCTGTCCTGGGCACTGGAGACACAGACAGAGGGTAGATACTACCCACGGAGCTCACAGTCCAGTGTGGGAGACAGGTGGGTGAAGAGACACCCAGGAACAGGTGAGGGATGCTGAGAGGGACGAGGGGTGGGCGGGGTCGGAGCACCTGCCAAGCACCACGGAGCCAGCACTGTGAACAGTCCTCCTCCCGCTGCACAGGCGATGCCTGAGGCAGCCTCCCCTCCCCCATCTCCACGTCTCCTTTGCTGGGTGGCAACGTGCCCACCCTGAGGTTTGGGCCAATCACGATTGTCCTAGTCCCCTGTCCTGACATTTGAGTTCCCAGCCTCCGCTACAGGTGGGAGAGGCCATGTGACAGTCTGGCCAATGCCATGAAGGGGAAGTCTGCTAGGAAACTGCTGGAAAGATTTTCTTGCTTCCTGATAAAAGAGAGAGATGCACGAGGTGCATTCCCTTGTGGCCGCCTTTCATTCCCTGTGGTCCCTGGGGTCTGAGGGTGGGCAGCAGCCAAGGTAGGGCCACGAGGTGATAAATCTAAAGAAAAAACAGCACTGTGCTCAGGAAGGCAAGACTCCAGGGTGACATCACCGCGCTGCTGTATAAACCTGGGAAGGTCCACTGGTGAGACTTCGTTTTACTTGAGATAATTCAGTATTTCTATTGCAAAAGCCATGTGATAAAGTTGTTGTTGTTTTTTTTTATCCTCACCCGAGGACATTTTTTCCATTTTTTGTTCAGATAGAATGGGAGGGAGAGCGAGGGAGAGAGAGAGAGAAACATTGACGTGAAAAGGACACATCAAGTGGTTGCCACCCACACGACCCAACCAGGGCCGGGGACAAACTGCAACCGAGGTATGTGCCCTTAGCGGACACCGAACCCGGGTCTCTCTGGACCGCAGGTCGAAGCTCTAACCACTGAGCAAAACTAGCCAGGGCCATGTGATAAAGTTGCAGAGTTGTTTTGGAGGGATGCAGCTACCAAGTGAGGGACTACATTTCCCAGACTCCCTTGCAGCTATGTGTGGCCATGTGGCCAGTTTCACCAACAGAACTTGAGAGGAGGTGATGTGTGTCACTTCCAGGCTAAGGCTTTTAAGAAGCAGATGTGGTCTCCCTGCGCCCCTTCCCCTTCTGCTGGCTGGATGCAGACAATGGCAGGGCCTTTAGAGATTCTTAACCTGGGGTCCACAGACCTCCAACCAGGTTGCCGACAGGATCCTGAGGTCTAAGACTTGGATAGGAAAGAAATGACATCCTCATTTTCACTAACTTCTGACACCTAGCACTTCCTCCCATTAGGAGTGAAGGGAGCAAACCACAGTGCGAGCAGCATCGGTCACTCAGCTCCCACAGGACACAGCTCCTCTCCTATCACCACAGCTGCCAAGTCACGAGATGTCATTATCCTTGTCTACTTTGAAATTACAGTATTTATAAGAACTACCACTAGATCTTGTTTCTAGTGTGTTAACAGAGACATGTATTCCTAGATAACAAACACATTTTAAAATATTTTATAACTGCATTTCAATAATTTTAATTTCCTTTGTAATGCTCCATATTTTGTTTAATACCTCTGAAAATATTACTCTGAATGGGGTGCGCAGGCTTCACCAGACTGCCAAGGGGTCCATGATACAAAAGGTTAATCGTCCTTGCCCTAGAGAGGCACGGAGCAGCGAGAGGCAAACCACCCACAGACCAGCCAGGCTCCGGTTGGGCTGTTACAAGAGCAAGAAATACATTTCTCCGGTGTTAAAGTGCAGGTCTCGCGGGCTTCTCTGTCCCTGCAGCCTGGCCGGCCTGCCCTGGCCAGGACACCATGCCGTCTGTACGGTTACCACAGTACAGGCATCCTCGGACATGGAAACCCAGAAGCTCGGCCAGGGGAAGTGTCTGGCCACAGAGTGAAAGTGGGGAGGAAAGATGCCCAGCACCCACGATAGATACTCACAGTTAAACCACTTGACGCTGGGGCTCCACTCACTCCACGTGCTGTTGTAGATTTGAGCCCAGATCCTCACCCGCGCGCTGTAGAAAGTCCCAGGCTTTAGGATGCTGGCTGAGAAGCGGAGGGTGGGCTCCATGTAGGTCACATTATAGACTGTGAACTGGGGGAAGAAAGGAAGACATTACTGCACCAGCTGGGGGAGTGCCAGCTCCCACCTGGCTGCTGTCCTTAGCTGACTCCACAGTGTTTAAGAGCCACCAGACTGGCCCTAGCCAGGTAGCTCAGTTGTTTAGAGTGTTGTCCCTATATGCCAAGGTTGTGGGTACGATCCCCGGTCAGGGCACATATAAGAATCAACCAATGAATGCATAAATAAATAGAACACCAAATCTATGTTTCTCTCTCTCTGTCTAAAATCAATTTTAAAAAACCACCAGCCTGGATTATTCCTTCAACTCGGATATCGTTTGCCACCTTCATAACTGGGACCAGACTCAAGCGAGATGGGCCAGGAAACGGGCCCTTCCCCACCCCCCCGACTAGCCATGTGACATGGCTGGGGCAAGTGGATTAACCTTTCTGAGTTTTCGTTTCCTCGCCTGTAAATTGAGAGTACAGGTCCCTACTGTCACTTTCTGGCTGTGTGACCTTAGGTAAGTGACATAACCTCTGTGGACCTCGATGTCCTCGTCTGCAAAATGGCGGTAATAAAAGCTCCCACCTCGCGGGTTGTTGTGAGGAGTAAGTGGGCTCAGGGGACAAGCACCTAGGACGGGCCTGGCGCGCAGGGAGCACGAGGTGACCTTTCCGAAGCGCAGATGGAGTCAGAGCCCCTCTCTCTCCTTCCCGGGCTCTCTAGAGCCCCAGCAACCCAGCCCAAACTCACTGGCCTCGAACCTCAGCCCCGCCCAACCCAGCCCCCCTGGGAAGAGACCCAGAATCTGCTGTTAAGTGGAAAAGGTAAGATGACGATGAGTATGTGTTGCCTGCTGCCTTTTGTGTTTAAAAACATGGTGGCAGACAGACTCTGAGAGGCCCCGATCCCCACCTTATATCACTCCCTGTGTGGCCGACAGGACGTGCGGAGGTGATGGGTGGGCAGCACTGCGTGTGTGCGGTTACGTTCTGGAAGACCGCCACTCCAGCTTCTGGGACACCCTCTCCCCCCCGCCGGCGTGGAGAAGGCCACTAGGAAGGAATGGAGGTGCCTCCGGCCAAGGACCAGCAAGACCTGAGGCTCTCAGTCCAACAGCCCACGAGAAACTGAATGCTGCCAACATCATAGAGGGGGAGGACCCTTCCCAAGTGGAGCCTCAGGTGAGACCGCAGCCCTGGCCGACTCCTCGGGTGCAGCGGAGAACCCAGTGGAGCCGGACCCAGGCTCCTGATGCCCAGAGCTGTGGGGCAATAAATGTGTGCTGTGGATATTATGTAGCAATGGACAGTGACGAATGAACAGACACGTTTGCCACATAGGCACACACTCTCTCTGGGAGGAGATTACCTCAGACCCTCTACCTGCTCCAGCCGGCCTCCCTCCCCTCCTGGCAAGAGCGAGAGTCGTGGTCAACCTCTGGGAAGAGGAACTAGAGCCCGGCCAGTGTGGCTCAGTGGATTGAGCGTTGTCCCATGGACTGAGAGGTCCCAGTTCAATTCCTGGTCAGGGCACATGCCTGGGTTGCAGGCTTGATCTCCAGTAGGGGGCGTGCAGGAGGCAGCCGATGGATGTCTCTCTCTCCCTCTCTCTCCCTCTCACTCTGTCTGATGATAAATAGAAAAATATCCTCAGGTGAGGATTAAAAATTATAATAAGCCCTGGCCGGTTTGGCTCAGCGCTTAGAGCGTCGGCCTGCGGTCCAGAGAGACCCGGGTTTGGTTCCCGCTAAGGGCACGTACCTCAGTTGCAGTTTGTCCCCGGCCCTGGTTGGGTCGTGCGGGTGGCAGCCACTTGATGTGTCCCTTTCACGTCGATGTTTCTCTCTCTTTCTCTCCCTCTCACTCTATCTGAACAAAAAAATGGAAAAATGTCCTTGGGTGAGGATAAAATAATAATAATAATAATTTTTTTGACTAAAGCAGCTGGCTGCTCTGTGGTTGGTGTGGTGGAGGAGGGAGAAAAAAATTTTTTTTAAATAAAAATAAAAACATATTTTAGCCCCAGCCAGTTTGGCTCTCTCTCTCTTCCTCTCTCTCCCTCCCACTCTAACTGAACCCCCCCCCCCCCCCAAAAAAAGGAAGAATGTCCTGAGGTGAGAATTTAAAAAAAAAAACACGTATTTTTTAAAAAAAGAGGAATTGGAGGTTGAGGTTGGGGTTGGAAGAGAAAGACATTTCCATTCTAAGCCCTCTTCTACCACTTGAATTTTTTATTTCATGTAAATACTACTTTACAAAAAAAAAAAACTTTAAAAAATAAGATGAAATAAAATCTGTGTTCAAGTTCAATTCTGCCGGCGAGTGGCCCGAACCCTCTGGCCGAACCCTCTGGCCGGGGCTCCTCTCCCAGCAGGCCCTCCCTTTGCAGCCCCCCCCCCCCACCCCCCCAGCCTGCAGGCAGCTCTGCTTCTGCTCGGGGTAGAAGGCGCGCAGGGAGCCGGTCGGTCGAGTGAGCCAAAGGAGGCTGCACAGCGAGGAAGCAACACCTGAACAGGTTGCTGGAGAACCTGGGGGGGGGCGGGGGGGGGGGCTCTGCAGTGGTGCGGGGGTGGGCGGGAGCTGTGGGAGACCAGGGCTGCAGTGGTGCGGGGGTGGGCGGGGGCTGTGGGAGACCAGGGCTGCAGTGGTGCGGGGGTGGGCGGGGGCTGTGGGAGACCAGGGCTGCAGTGGTGCGGGGGTGGGCGGGGGCTGTGGGAGACCAGGGCTGCAGTGGTGCGGGGGTGGGCGGGGGCTGTGGGAGACCAGGGCTGCAGTGGTGCGGGGGTGGGCGGGAGCTGTGGGACACCAGGGCTGGGAAGGACGACACTCTCAGTCTTTCTTTCTAAACATGAGTAAGCTGGATCTAGTTCACTAAAGGATTCGAACACCCTGGAGAGGAGCAGGATATTGGGAAATGTTTTCCTAAGAAACAAGAGAAATCGGAGCTTGCAAGGAACTGCTTGTGGTTGGTTTCTAACAAAAGGGCCAAGTGTTCAGAAGACCACGTCTGAGAGGAGGATCCTGGGGAGGAGGAAGAACGAAGGCTCTGGATTTAAATCCTGGCTTCAAATCCCAGCTCTGCCCTCCCTTTTGAGACATGGGGGAGGGGTGTCTCGGTAGCCTCTTCCCCACCAACAAGAGAAGCTGGACTTGGAGTTCTGGGGCCTGGGGCAGCCCTGAGCATCTACATGCCCACTGAGCCATAGCACCAGCACACCGACCGATTCCCTCCACTGGCTGGAGTCCGGCGCCAGGTCCTAAACCAGGCTTTGTCTCAGCCGGCCCAGGCCATTTCCCCTCCCCCTGGATCTCCTTTGGGGAGCCCCCGCCCTCATTCTCAGCCCAGATGGCTCAGCCCAGCGGATCCCACTGCAGCTCCAGAGGTGGGCATGTGACTCACCCCTGGCGGATCAGAGCATGGCACCAGCACCTTCTCTCCTGCCCACAGCCCGTGACAGGTGCAGAGACTGGCCCAGTGATCCACGCCAGGTAAGTGAGCATCACACTGGGCCCGGGACTTTTACTGAGAATTATCTGGAAAGAACAACTTTTCCCACTGAGGCGTTAGGACCGAGGCCTGGAGCTGCTCACGGGCATGTCAGCCAAATGAGGGGATGGCCTGCCTGAAAACGAAGCCAGCGCATGACAAAGCAGGGCCAGGCCATGAGACTCCTGGAGCCTAGGTTCAGCCATGGCAAACAAACAAGTAAATTCCTCTGGACCCTTGTCTCCCCTCCAGGCTACGCCCTGAACAGGCACAGGACCTGGGAAGACCAAGTTGGCATCTGTGCCAGCCCCTCTCCCCAACTGCTCTCTGAGCTGCACCCTGTGTGCCCCATTCCTGCTCTTACCCACATCCTGGCTCAGGGCCAGGGATGGGAGCTTATCTGTGTCGCCCACTTCGTGCTGTCAATGCCCTACAGGTGGTACTCATTAGCCCCATGTCACAGGTGAGAAAACTGAGGCGCAAGGAGGTTAAGGGACATGCTCGAGAGCACACATTTTGCCGTGCAATGTCGGTACGCTCACTTAGAAAGGAAGCCCTGTCTCTGCTGCGCCTGCAGAGAAGTATCAGACGCCCCGAGTGTCACGTAAAAGGAATCTCAGTCAGGCCCAGCGATGGCATTAAACTATGGGTGAGCCTGTCTCCTGGGGCAAGGCTCTGAGCCTCGGCCTCCTCTCTGTACAACCAAGGACCAGTAAGCCTGTCAGCCCAGCTGAGACGCCTTCCCTCACCAGTCAGGTCGAGAGGGAGATGATGCTGAGGGAGCATCTCATGCTGGGACTCAGTCGTTTGAGTGTGTTCCCCAAATCTCAGTGTCCCTCCGGGCCCTCAGGAAACACAGCTGTGGCCCAGTGCCTCCTTTACAGCGGGGAGCAGGGCCCAGAAATCATACCCCTTCTCTCTCCCTGGGCATCGGGCGAGGGGTGGAGGGGCAGAAGCTGGGACTCCAGGTCCCCAGGGATGCTGGCAGCCTGGGTGTCCTCTCTGTCTCCCACCCCGGAGCCGGGGTCTCCACCCACCCGAGTCCCAGGAGGTGGAGCAGAATCCCCGCAGTGCCCACTCACCTCTGAGGGGTCGTCTTCATTTGAAATGTTGACCTGGTAGGAGAGCTCATCGTACAGGAAATTCTCAGGAGGGTATGGGTTGCTCCAGGTCAGCTGCCACATGTGGGAGTCGTTGGAAGCAACTGTGAGGTTTCCAGGGGCCCTGGGTTTCACTGTGGAGAAGCGGTGTCTGGTGAGGGCTTGTCGCCCACGCCCCGGGCCATTGAGGTGTTTAGTCAACACCACCTCCACATACATGTGTAAGGCCACGTAGATTCAGACTCGTAACAGAGTCCACTTGGCACCACAGTGGTTACTAACTTCCTTTCTCCAGTGAACGCAAAATGTATAAACCAAAGTAACCCAAACTTCCTCGCTGTCACTTTTGTCCTTCACACTTTGTCCACATCTATGTGCTGTATTATTTACCACGTATTATTTTGATTCGTGTGTTTAAAAACATAGTCTCTTTTTAAGTAATCACATCAGTGAGATCACAAGTATATGATCTATATTAAAATCAACAACACATGTGAGAATTATTTTAATTCATGGGTTTGTTCATGGGTCAATTTAAATAACCCCAGACCTCCCTGGCCGGTTTGGCTCAGCGGTTAGAGCGTCAGCCTGCGGACCAGCAAGTCCCGGGTTTGGTTCTCGCTAAGGGCACGTACCTTGGTTGCAGTTTGTTCCTGGCCCCGGTTGGGGTCATGTAGATGGCAACCACTCGATGTGTCCCTTTCACATCGATGTTTCTCTCTCTCTCTTCCTCCCTCTCTCCTTCCCACTCTATCTGAAGATACATGAAAAAATGTCCTCGGGTGAGGATAGGAATAAATAAATAGCCCTGGACCACCAGCAGGATGAGCAGGCCCTTCAGGAACTGCTGATGGAGTGGTGAAGGCTGTGAAGTCTGGGAGAGATTGCCGCTCCTGCTTAGCAGCTGTGTGACCTTAGGCAGGTTACTTGCCTTCTCTGTACTATAGTTTATTCAACTGCAAAATGGGGATAAGAACTCTCTTCTGGAAACTGAGGCTCAGAGAGGTAATGTGACTTGCCAAGGTCACACAGCAATAAATGGTGTTTTAAACTCCTGTCATGCCCAGACGCTGTGGCTCAGTGGTTTGAGCGCTGACCCATGCACCAAGAGGTCACGGTTCGATTCCCAGTCAGGGCACATGCCCAGGTTGTGGGCCCGATCCCCAGTTGGGGGCATGCAGGAGGCAGCCAATCTATGTTCTCTCTCATTGATGTTCCAATCTCTCTCCTCCTCTCTCTCTAAAAACAATAAAGAAAAACATTTAAAAATAAATAAATAACTTCCTGTCACTACACCCCAGCAAGTTCCTAGGGATTGCCCATAGGGACTCTGGGTAGCAGGATAAGGTCAGCCTTCTGTGGTCCAGACTGTCTGAAGCAGCAGCAGCTGAGCAGTCACGGAGGGAGGAAGGACGGTTCCCAGCTCAGTTTCTGATCTGCAGCAAGCAGGCCTTCCATCCAATAGGCCTGCTCAACACCCCAACCAGGGGCCTCACATTCAGGGGGTTGAAATATCTGATCTAAAGGGGCCTGATGTACTGCTGAGCCCAACCCAATTTTAAACATGGGAGGACTAAGGCCCAGATAAGGGCAAGAACCCCATCACGTTTAAGACAAGGTAAGAGCCCTGGCCAGTTTTGCTCAGCGGTTAGAACGTCAGCCTGTGGTCCAAAGAGACCCGGGTTCGGTTCCCGCTAAGGGCATGAACCTCGGTTGCAGTTTGTCCCTGGCCCTGGTTGGTCGTGCGGGTGGCAGCCACTCGATGTGTCCCTTTCACGTCACTGTTTCTCTCTCTCTCTCTTCCCTTCTCTCCCTCCCACTCTACCTGAACAAAAATTGGAAAAATGTCCTTGGGTGAGGATGAAGAAAAAAAGACAAGGTAAGAGGCTGCTTGGGCCTCCCTCCCCAAAATGGACCCTGCCTCCCCTGCCCCAGGACCCAGCCGGCTTCTTTGGGACCGCCTGCCCCACCCCACTCACCATGCTTGCTGGGCTGGAAGGAACCGGTCCACAATTGCTGCTTCCCAGCCCACAGGTCCAGCTGGTAGATGTCCACGCTGGCCACGTTATCCATCAGCATGTTGCACAGGCACACAGTGCTTTCCCTATTCTCAGGGACACACGTGCCGTTTCTGCAGACACGGTGCTGTGTTAGGCTGGCCATGCACCCTTGGGTGTCCCCCGTACACGCCTCAAGGAACCACATGCTCCTCCAGTACCTGGTCGCCCTGCCTCAGGGGACTGCTGCTCAGGGGACTGGGCAGCAGAGCAGCCAGGGTGCCTGGTGGGGACAGTGGACGAGGACTGCCTTCCCTGCTGGCCACAGCCCGGCACCACGCCCACAAGGACGCCCACACCCCTGGCCGCAGCCGTGGTCCCAGGACTCCGCTCATCCCTAAGGGCCAGTGACAGGGAAGAATCCGGCTCGACGACTCTAACAGCAGGTGCGCTGCACACCTCTGGGAGCACGGCTTCTCCCAGGGCAGAGTGACCCCGACGTGCCTCCAGAACAGCCAATGGCGGCCGTGGGCTCGGCCGGGCAAACGATTTCCGTAGAGGCCCAGACAGCAGGCATCTGGGCTCCGAGAGCCGGGCTGCTCCGCGGGGACTACAGGGCTCCGCGGGCTCGGGGAGGCCCAGACAGCAGGCCTCTGGGCTCCGCGAGCCGGGCTGCTCCGGGGACTACAGGGCTCCGCGGGCTCGGGGAGGCCCAGACAGCAGGCCTCTGGGCTCCACGAGCCGGGCTGCTCCGGGGACTACAGGGCTCCGCGGGCTCGGGGAGGCCCAGACAGCAGGCCTCTGGGCTCCGCGAGCCGGGCTGCTCCGGGGACTACAGGGCTCCGCGCAGGAAGGCAGCGCAGACCCCGCCGGCGGGCTGGCCACGTGCCAGCAGCACTAGTTTACAAAGCAGGGTGGGCCCAGGGGCCTCACGGGCGGTTCTCCTGCTCCGGTCTCGGCCCACGTGCCACGGGGGAAGCACAGCACGCGGAGGGCCGCCTGGGGGCGCCTGCACTCTGCCATCGAGGGTGCCCCGCGCCTGCGCACCGCGCCGGCCAAGTCCGGCGCCCGGGCCATCCCAGCGAGCCACAGGGGACGTGTGCGCTCCCCGCTGACCCTGCGCCCCCGCTGACCCTGCACCCCCACAGCGCTCGCTCATGTCCCGAGGTCCCTGGGTGCGGTCTGAGGACCCACGGGCCAGCCGGTTCACAGCGCCCCGGGGCGCTCGCCACGGCCCTCTCTCCCGCAAGCGGACAGAGCAGTTTCCCAGGGCCACGTGGCAGGTACGTCACTGCTCTGAAGGCCTGTGTGCTGCTGTGATTTACATTTTCTGTTTGAATTTTCGAGAGAGTAAATATCCATAGCTATAGGCTACCCAGACAAAAGCTTTCGGGGTCCTCGCTGATGTTTAAGCATGAAGAGTCCTGAGACTAAATGCTTGAGACCCTATGTTCTGGTCCGATACTCCGCCCGCATCCGGATGCCACACGGCTGGCTGGGTGACAGTGTGCTCGGAGCATCATGCCATTCCCACTGTATGACACGCACTGCTCCCTGGGCACCCCGGCTCGAACCCTGTGCCCGGTAAGTGCAGTGAATGGCATTTAGCACCAAGCACCACTCCAGGGGAACCCCGAGGGCCGACCTCCCCGACCCCCCTGCTCCAGCACAGGCTTACTCAGAGGTCCGAAAATCCAGCTGATAGGTCAGGCGGAGCTCGGCGCTGCAGTTGGTGGGGCCGCTCATCCTCCACTCACAGGTGGAGGTGCTGATGAAGTCGGAGAAGCAGGTGGGCGGATGCCGGACCCTAAGACTCCCTGGGGAGACAGGAGCGCTCTGAGGAGCTGGAGCCCAGCACGAGAGAGGGCCCTGCGCCCCTGGACAGGTGGAAACCAGCCAGAACAGGACCAAGGGCCATCACAAACAGGGAAACCACAGTCCCAGGACCGGTCACGGGCCAGTCTTCACAGAGCCGGCCAGGACCCGGGCTCCTGGAGCCTCCCAGCTGGCACTGATGGGGTTCCTGAAGCTGAAGAAGCACCCTGGGTGCAGGGTCCATTGAGGGCATACCCCAAATGCACCTTTACGTCATGCAGCTCCCCTACTTTCCTGGTCAAATTAAAGGAAAAATACGCGGCAGTCTGAGGAGTCTACCCACCAACAGGCCCTGCCACAGTGTGCCAGAAGGCTGTTACCCATGTGCCCACTCACTCCCCGCCCCCATCCATTCTCCGCCCCTCTGTGAGCTCAGGAGGCTGACCCCACGATCTTGTTACCCAGGTGCCCTTGTCCTCTGGCTTCTTGGTGGGTTTGGCCAATATCCAAGGGCGGAATGAGAGGCTGGGGTACTTCTTCCAGCCAGTCAGTGGCAGAGCTGGACTTGAACCTGGCAGGATGTCTACTGGGTTTGCCAATCGGCTGAGAGCCATCACCCAGCTCTAGAGCACCCGGCACCTGACCAGCAGGCCTCCTGCTCCAGCGGCCCCATCACAGCTGCCCTCTATCTGCACTTGTTCTCTGGATAAAGGACTCACCATGTTAAGGAGAGTCGTAGATATCTAATAAATCTCTCAAATTCTCCTCATCTGACTCCCTTCTCCCCAAAACCCATATCCCTCTGCATCTCAGAAATGACAGCTGTGTCCTTCTGGTTGCTCAGGGCAGAACTCTGAGTCATCCTTGACACCTCTCCCTCTCCCCTCAGTCCACTCTGTCTTCAAATCTCCATCCCAGAGGGATCCAGAAGCCAGTTCCCTCTGTTGGGCCAGGCCACCCGGCTTACTGCGGCACCTCCTCCCTGACCTCCGGGCTTCCACCCTTGTGCTTACAGACAAAGGGATCCCTTTCAATGTAACAGGTCATGTCGCTCCTCTGCTCAGACCCTGCAAGGCCCTTCCTGAGCTGGTCCCCCTGTCTCCCAGCACCACACCAGCCTCCTTTCATTCCTCCAACACTCCAGGCAGGCTCTCTGCTCAAGGCCTCCACTGAGATCCTCCTCCCCCCACAGACATCTGCATGGCTCCCCCTTCCTTCAAGTCTTGGCTTGATTGCCTGTCACTCAATGAGGACTTCCCTGGGCACATAACGTATTTTACACTGCGACCCTCCACTCCACCCAGCTTTCCCAATCCTCCCTGCTCTGTTCCACATTGTATTTTTCCATCACCTTTTAACAATCCTTAGAATTTACTTAAAAAATTGGGGCCATCTGTCGTTGGCTATCTCCTCCCACTACAGTGTAAGCTCTTCGAGTCCAGGAATCTTTGTTTTCTTCACTGATTGAGCCTGGCAGGTACATAGTCAACACATGTTTGCTGAATGAATGAATGAATGAATGAGAGGTGGTGACTTACCAGAGTCTGCCGCCCACACCAGGATCAGGCAGCTCACAGAAAACGTGAGCCCAGAGCCAAGCCACCCCATTGGGAGATCCTAAGGCACCTGCTGAGAGAAAGTGAGCCAGGTTAGTGCTGACTCATGGTCCCCATCGTCCCAATCATCCCAAGTGCAGCCTTCAGAATTCACCTTACTCCAGACACCACTGTCCCCTGCCCTGCTCGTTTGTATTTCTGCCAACAATGAGCCCTCCATGTTCACCAGAGATCTGTTTATGATCACAGAACCCAACTCAGATGCACAAAGTGCAGAGTGAGAGCCACGGAACACCTGTCCCAAGAGATGCTTCTTGAGAAAAATCCCACGGCCTGCTGAGTTTGAGCATCCCTCAGACTTTTGGAAGTTCATAATGTACATTTGCACGTAAAGGTTCTGCAGTAAAGAAATTTATTTTTCTTCATTTAACCCAACACTGAAGGATTTATAATTCCTTGAAATATAGTTTGGAAATGCTACCCTAACTGTTCAACCTTACAGAGCTGGTTAAATACATGACGGTATACTCATACAATGAATTATTAGGAGGCCACTAGAAATGATGCTGTTGAGTGTTAGACTGACTACACTGATGGCCCCAATTCTTCCCGCCTGTGTCCATGTAACCTTGCAGTGCTCCTCCGCCCCCACCACTCTGGGCGAGCGTTCTCCCTGCATTTGGACTCGGGGCTCACCACGTGACTAGCTTTGGCCAGCACAATACTAGCCAAAGTGAGGCATGCAGAGGCCTGCTTGGCACGACCACTGCCTTGAGAACGTGCCTGGCCTCGCCCTTTGGAGGATGGCGACAGGCAAGTCCCAGCCGGCTCCTTCTGCATTAGGCAACAGGCAGCTGGCCCTGTCCTCCGAGTGAGCTCACGCATCGGCAGGGCTGGCAGCTGACCTGAGCTGACCGCAGAGGCACGAGTGAGCCCACGAGGTCAGCCACGTCCAGAAGGCTGACGCCCGCACGCTCAGCGAAGTGAGTGTCCCTTACATGGCACTGAGGCTCTGTGCTTGTTTGTTATGCAGCATTGTTACTGCTCCCCGTCATCCCCCTCACTTCTAACCCCTCCGAGGACCCTGCTGTTTTGTAGTCCATATCAGTGAACTCATGTGCCACCCTTATTGTATTCGCGACATCCCCCAAGACGTGATTGGGGAATAAAAATTAGAAGGTACGTACACCCAAAAAGGAAACACAATAAAACCCTCCAAATCCCAAGGCCCAGCAATAACACCACTCACATATTAATATCTATTCTCTCAGAAGTTGCTAGGAATATAGGGGGATAAATATGAATTTTATTTACCAAAAGAGCAGCACCTTCTACGAAAACTCACATTTTAAACTTACCATATGATTAACATCACTCCACACGACAAAATTTAGATCCAAAGCATCAGATCAGCAGGTTCCACTGTGTGTCTGGCACTGGGTTTTAGCCTTATTTATTCTTTGTGTTACTTTGTTATACACAGTGTGGGGTCTGTGCCTGCCCCCGGAGAGCCACCACCCACATTTCTCTGACTACCTCCTTAAGTTTAAATACCTGCTCTGTCGTCTCCTCGTCATGAACCTTGAGCAAGCTGCTACCCCTCCGGCTGTTTCCACCGCACTGGGAGTGTTGTGAGGGTGAGATGACTGGACACATGTGGAGACCTCAAACGGCGACCTGGACACAGGAAAGGCTCAAGTAAGGTCACCAGTGGTCACCATTAAGGAAAATGCTCAGAAGCAGAATCCATCAGGTCACAGAGTGTGCACTTCCCCCAACACTCCTGGCACCTAAGGCCAAAAGCCCCTACAGAGCAATGTCCTGGGGTATGTTCCGGGGCAATGCTGACAGCACCCACCTGCGTCCCCGCTTGGGTCTCTGTCTTGGGGTCACATTCAGAAAGGCAGCTGCCAGGCCTCCTCCTGCTACTTAGTAGCTACGTGCTGTTCAGACATTACTGTCTTTCCGGGCTTTGGCTGCTGTACCTGCACCGCGGAGACCCCAAGATGAAGCTCCCCGGGGCACCGCAGAGAGGAAGCGAGGTGCGGACCTAACACACCGCGCAGTGTCTGGACGGGTGAGCGCTGAAGCCCCAGCAGAAGCCCAAGCCCTGCTGGACGCTCTCCAGCGGCTTCACCCCACCTGCAGGCTCTCCCGCCGCCTCCCCTCCCCCGCCAGCAGCTGGCAGGGCTCCTGCCACCTGCTGGCCTGCACTTCCTGCTGCTCCCAAACGCCAACTCATCCCACCTCCACACCTTGCCTCTCCCGTCCTGCATTCAAATGCCCTCTCTCAGCCTCTCCTTCCTGGTCAGTTATTTATTCACAGGAATAAATTACCCCTCGATGCTGCAGTGTGGATTTCAGAGCAGCAGGGACATTCTCCTGCATGACTGCAATACAGCCATCAAAACAGGAAATCCATGGATGCATGAGGCCATCAATCCACTGGCCCTATTTGCATTTTGCCAAGGGCCTCGGCAATGCCTTTACCGGCCCAGGACCCAGCATCCTCTCCACATGCAGTCCCAGCGCCCGGGTCTGGGCTTCCTTGGAAGGAGCAGGGCAGGTACAGCCTGGAATTCCCGCCGCGCCAGACAGTAAGGAGGCGCTCCAAGAATGCTGCGCACCGTAACAAGACAGGTGGCAGCTTGAATGGGTGCCACTGGCCCAAATGGGCACAACCGAAGCATCACAGTAAACATTCCATAGACCAGAGGTCACCCTGGGAGTTAGAACAGGGCCCAGTGACAGGTCCTAAGTGGGGAAAGGGACTGCTCCTGTCACCACGGCAGCCTCTATCTCCCCATGAACCTCGTATTCGTTATTTACTAATTAATGAGTCAAATAATTAACATTATAATTTTATATTCTTATACATATAATTGTACATAACTTTATATACAGAAACCCAGAAGACACCACCTTACACAAGTGGTCAAAGTTAAAGTAACATCACCAGGAATGGGACAAATTAAGGTCATGAACTTTCTTTCTTTCTTCCTTTTTTTTTTTGTTAATCCTTACCCTAGGATATTTTTCCACTGATTTTTTAGAGAGAGTGGAAGGGAGGGGGGAGGAGAGAGAGAGGGGGAAGAGGGAGAGAGAGAAACATCGATGTGCCCATCGACTGGTTGCCTCCCACACATACCCTGGCCGAGGCCGGGGATGAACCTGCAACCCAGGTATGTGCCCTGGACTGGGAATCGAACCCCAGACCCTCCAGTGCTCTGGCCAACGCTCTAACCAGTGACCCACACTGGCCAGGGCGAGGTCGTAGTTTTCTGAAACGGCCCCGAGAGGAACAGGACACTGCCTCTCTGGTGTTCCTGCCCCACATCCACAAATCCTGCAGGGGCGCCAGGCAGACCCACACTGAGGGCCGTCTGTGAGGGAACCGGCCTGGACCCACGGGCCGAAGGCCAGGAGCACGTGGGAGGGAGACTGTCCTTTCAGGGGTCTGCCATCCACCCCGAGGGCCGGGTGTCTGGGTCGCTGCCGAGTCCAGTGCCTACATCGGTGTCTGGCACAGAGCACGTGCTCAGTAAAGGTCTGTCGAATTCAGTTATTTTGGACAGACGGGGGCCCCTAACAGGCTCCATGCGGGGCTGGACAGCTCTGCCCAGGGGAGACTGGGTGCCCTCAAAGCCCAGCCCGCCCTCCGTGCAGACACAGTGAGGATCAGGAAGCAGGGTGGGAGTGTGATGGTGGGTCTGTGACGCTGGCTTCCTCCCTCTCACGAGTTCACAGATGCCCACAGAATCTGGTGGCAGAGATGGCCCTCTAGGATTTGGAGTCTGAACCCAATAAGATGAATGAAATGAGCCAGAAAGAGTTGGCCATCCTGCTTGTCCACTTCAAACATCGGTGCCCAAGCATAGGAGCAGAAAACCTGCCTGAGCAGCAGAAAAGACCGAGGATTTGTATCGTCTACAAACCCCCATGAGCCAGAGGTGAAACAGTAACTGAAACAAACAAAAAAGCCAACTAAGCCATATTAACAGAGATATGAGATCCAGGACAAGGGAGGTGGCAGAGCCCGGCCACACCTGTTTCCACATGCCAGTTTCCCTCTACACATTTAGTCATGTTAATTCACTCAATACTCAAAACAGCCCCATGAAGTAGGCACTATTATTTCCCCCATTTTCAGATGAGGAAACCAAGACACAGAGAGGTATTAGTGACTTGCCTGGGCTGCACAGCTGTGACAGTCCTGGGACACGAGCAGGGGCTGTCAGGCTCCAGAGCCTCAGCTCTCAACCTCTACCTCTGCCCACGAGCCAGAGTCCTTAATGTTCCGGGGACCACGGGCCCATCTGAACACCTGAGGCAAACTCCAAACCCTCTTTCTAGAAAAGTGCAAACATTTAAGTTTGCATTCCACTTTAGGGGTTCACAGATCCCCTGGAGCCCAAGTCAAAGCCCCCCCCCCCATCTAGGCAATGAGCAGATTCTGAGGGTCTTTGAACAGGGTTGTGGCAAGATTTTTCTCAACCCAGTGTGGGCTGAGAGAATACTGGGACAGGGGCCCTGGGGCAGTCTGCAGTTGCTACAGACCTGAGTCACCCGGTCACTTCCCCATGCGGCAGACCTGAGTCACCCCAGCTCTTCTCCATGCTGCCGGCAGTCATTTTAAAATCAGAAACCAGGTCATGAGCCGCCTGCTTCTGTCCTTCACTGGCCTCTGGCTCCCGAAGGGCCACAGATCCCCAGGGGTCATGCCCAGCCAAGAGGAGCATCCCTAACACAGGATGCAGTCCACGCCCGCGAGTGAAAATGGCCCATCCTAAAGCACACCCTGCGTGCTCCATGTATGTAACATTCTTGAAATGACAGCATATGGAAGTGGAGACCAGATTAGGGCTGCCGGGGCTGGGGGGACAGGCAGGAAGGGAGGTCGATGTGGCTATAAAAGGAAACACAGAGAGGGACCCTGGTGAGGATGGAACTGTTCTGTATCTTGACTGCTGTGGTGAAGACGCAGAGCTGTGCGTGTGACAAACGTGCACGGAACTGGCGACATGCACACCCGCGAACGAGCGCAGGAAAGCGGGGCGAGCTGAGCCAGGCGACATGCACACCCGCGAACGAGCGCAGGAAAGCGGGGCGAGCTGAGCCAGGCGACATGCACACCCGCGAACGAGCGCAGGAAAGCGGGGCGAGCTGAGCCAGGCAGCAGACGGCACCGACGTCAGGGTCCTGCCTGTGATCATGCACCACAGTTGTCCGATGTTACCCTGGGGGCACTGAGATGACCAGGGATCTCTACACTACGTCTTACAACTGCATGTGAGTCTACAATTACTTTTTCTTGTGTGTGGTACATGCCCCTTGCAGGAACCAAACCCGGGAGACTCTGGTCCACAGGCTGATGCTCAACCGCTGAGCCAAACCAGCCAAGGCTACAATTACTTTTAAATTAAAAGTGTAAGAAAATAAAAAAGCCTCAAGCCCCCTGCCACCTATCTACTGTCCCTCCTGTCCCCTCTCCCTCCTCCACAAATCCTCAGTCCCACTGGCCTGTGAGCACTCTCTCACCTCCCAGCCCTATTGTCCCACAGCCTTTGCACCCAGAGACCCCATCACAGCACCCTGTTTGTACCTGTCATATACTTATCACCGTCTCTAATCATATCACAGAATGTTTATTTTATTTCAGGACATAGATGTCAAAGATAGAAAGATCTGACTACAAAAATTTTTCAACTCCCCTAGGTCAAAACATGCCTTAGGAAAAAAAAAATAGAAAGCAAGCAAAAGACTAGAAAAAGGTAGCAATCTACATGATAGAGGGTTAATGGCTTTAATATACAAAGGGGTCTTACAGATCAGTAAGACAAACATTCTTTAAGAAAAACGAGCCAAAGAGAAACAGCCCCTCTCGTTCTGCTGCTAGTAGAATGTAAAAGATAACCTGTATCTTTAAATTATTTCTTTGTCTACATATGCAGATGAGAATGCAAGCCCATGAGGGCAAAACTTTATGTCTGCCGTGGGCATTGCTTTGTCCCCAGTGCCAAAACAGTGCCTGACATGTACATAGTATATGCTCAATAAACAGGTATTAAATGAATAGTTGGCTAACAGCACAAGAAGCAGCCATCTGCAGATCGCTTTGTAGCTTATGCCTGGTGGCCGTGGACAGAACACAGGAGTGGCTGACCTTGCCCCAGAACCAGCACACCCAGCTTTAGACCACATCGAAGCACCACCACCCAACCACCTCCACAAGTGACATGCTCAAGGAGTGGACTCAGTGCGTACCAGAGCCCTGTTGAAGTAAGTCTTGCTCTGAGTGGTTGGCCCCTGCACAGCTGATACTCCAAGGTAGTCAGAGGTCAGTGGTCAGTGGTCACAGCCAGTCCTTGCAGCTGATCAGCTGAGTAAATCCCTCCCATGGACGTGCCAACAGCAATCAAGACTCAGTTACTGCAGAAGGGTGTACAGTCCACATCAGGGGTACACCTCAAAGGCACAGCTGGGGTGACCAGGGAGGCTATGCCATTGGACCATACAGGGCACCTACTACAACAGGCCATCCTAGGAGACACAGCAAGTCTACCCAATACATAGAAACAAACACAGGGAGGCAACCAAAATGAGGAGACAAAGAAACATGTCCCAAATGAAAGAACAGAACAAAACTCCAGGAAAAGAAAAAAACGAAATGGAGATAAACAATCTAACAGATGCAGAGTTCAAAACACTGCTTATAAGGACGCTCAAGGAGGACAGCTACATGCAAAAAAATGACACTAGACCACCAACTTACACCATATACAAGAATAAACCCAAAATGGATAAAAGACTTAAATGTGACTCATGATTCCATAAAAACCCTAGAAGAAAATGCAGGCAACAAAATTTCTGGCATTATATGCAGCAGAATTTTCACTGATACAAAATTCTGTGGAGAAAAGGGGACCCTAGTACACTGCTGGTGGGAATGCAGACTGGTGCAGCCACTACGGGAAACACTATAGTGTTACCTCAAAAAATTAAAAATTGAACTGCCATTTGATCCAGTGATCCCACTTCTAGAAATATACCCTAAGAAGCCTGAAACCTAAA